TCTGTCATCCCGCCAAGCCCCGGGACTCAGGGAGCATTTAGCACAAATGAGCAGCAAGTGCCTAGGTGGGGCCTTGTGCCAGGAAGCAGCAGTCCCGGACTGTCTCTGCTGCTGCTCAGACCCTCACCTCACTGCCCCCCAGCCCCTCCTCCCAAGGTCTCATGGCCCACCCCACTCTGTAATAACAGGTCCTAGAGGGAGGAAGTGAGCTGGAAGGTGGCGGGGAAGATGAGACTGCTCAGCAGGGTTAGGGACTCCGATGGTGCTGTAGTGGTTCAAACTCACTAGCTGTTCCTAGGAAACCATATACAGGGTCCCAGTGAGTTGGAAGCAATTTGACGGCACACAATAGCAACTATAGGATCAATAGTGACAGCAACAGCCTACTGCACTTTAGTTAGGACAGTGTCCCGCTCACCTGCAACATCCACAGTGTCTACCTCCCACCCAACCCCTAAGGAAGCTGGAGAAGGGACCTGCTCCCCACACCCTGGGGTGCGGGGGGTATGTGACAAGCCAGGTGTGCACCAGGGGGTTGGGGAGAGAGACAGCCCCACTTCACACCCGGCTGCAGATGGGACCTTCAGCCTGGATGTGGGCAGGGCTGGAGGAGGAGAGCTGAAGTCCCCAAGGCCCCAACAACACCCCCTCACGGTACCCCACCATCCCCCAGGGCCACTCAGCACCTACAGCACCTGCCCAGGCTTGTTCTCAGACAAACACAGTAGGAAAGGCCACAGCGGCTGAAGCAGGGGTTGGATGGGCAGCTAGCCCAGAGACGTTCCCCCTCTGGGCTGGTTCCTCCCCCACAGCATGGACTCCAGTGCACCCACGGTACTGTGTCAGGCTGTGAGGGCCCGGTGGGGGCCTGGTTCTCACCACGTCCTGACACAAGTCCCAAATCTCCATATGGGAACACCTCCACCTCCGGGTCTGGGGAGGAGGGTCCCAAGGACAGACGTTCCCCAGCCTCTGGCACCCTGTGCCCACCCATCCTGGGCTGTCTCCCATCGCAGGAGCCCTGCCTACCGCCGCATCAAACACAGTCCAGCTGCCATTCACCCTGCAAGCAGTGCCAAGAAGGGCAGCAATTTACACAGACCACCCACCACCTTGTCTCTTCAGCACGGCCCAGTGGCATATTTAGGGGACGTGGTCCAGCATGGTTAGGCCCGCCTGGAATTAAGGGAGTCTTAGCCAGTCCCTCAGGACAGGGAGGGCAGGCGGCACACCCTGGCCACCTGGTTCACCTTCTGAGAGCCGGGGACTTCCATGAAGGAGCTAGACATGGCTTCCCGAAAGCTCAGCCAGCATGGACAGCCCTGAACAAAATTCTCTGAGCCTCGGTTTACTGTAAAAGGGGTCCACACTAACACCCTCACCCACTCACTTGTTAGACAGGAAGGGGTATCGGTTTGGGACTAGTACTTGTAATTACAGTATGAGGGGGCGGGAAGAGAGTGGGTCCGGTGAGGACAGTCATCATCTCAGGTCACCCACGGAGGCTCACAGGCACACGCGGTTAAGTAGGGTGTCCAGACTGGGGGAGCAGCACTGTCTCCCTTCCCAGGCCACCATGGACCCCACTGCTCGGAGCAGACAGACCATCCAGCATGGCGGTGCACGTTCCAACAAGGGACCCGTCACGCTGGTAGCCCTGCCCATCACCGTTCCCCTGGGTCCCCCTCCCATGCCCCCACCCACAGGACCGAGCTGGGTCCTTGTGCTGGGGATGATGAAACCACTAGCTCCTTATGCAGGGAAGGGACAGGGTGCTGGGTCCCCAGAGAACCGGAGTGGAAACTCTAACAGGTCCCGCCCAAGGGTGGCTTCACACGGGTGGCCAGAGAGCGGCACACTGGGGACCCAGGCAGAGCCCCCACGGACCTGAGAAGGTCCACTTTGGGCACGCCTGACCACAGCTGTGGGACCAGCTAAGGCACTCCCTTCTAGGACTTGGGAGGGGACCTAGGGCCTGGGAGGACTCTCACTAAGAACAGGTATCTGCCACTGATGGCGGTCCTTTATACCAGCTCCACAAGGCACAGCTCTGCTCACACTGAAAGTTATACACTCCAGACCCTCACACTGAGCCCCAGGCTGATAGTCCTCCCCCAGACACCCTCCTGAGCCTCACGTGCACCCCCAGAAAGGCTGCATCATGTTTGTTAAGGACCTGCTTTATGCTAGATCGGGACAGGCTCTGCAACTGAACAGAGCAGACAGATGGACAGACAGACAGATGCTGTCCCTGCCCCTGGGCCCAGGGACCAACAAAAGGACTGAGAGAAAATGCCACCTGTTTCTTGGGAGGCGCAGCAGGCTGTCCACTGGCCAAGGAGCTGGTCCTCAGAAAACACCTGGCTGGTAGAGGTGACACCCTATCTGCACAGGTGTGGGCACTTGGTGGGACCTAGGTCTCATCCACTCTTGAGACACTCCACTCAAAGCCTGGCCACTGTCCCTTGGCACAGTGTCTGGCTCAGGGGCAGGGTGACTCCTGGGCCTGCTTTCTGCCTGGGCTGTCCAGTACCAGACAAGGACAGAGCCGTCCAGTATCAGACAAGAACAGGAGTGGAGCCCACTGTGCTGAGCAGTCCCTCTATTATGAGCTAAAGTTCCCCATTCATCCTCCATACTCAAGGCCAACTCCACTCTGCAAACACTAGACATCCTGGGTCTCCCCCCTCACCAGCCGGGGTCCCCAGAGAACCAGAGTGGAACCTCTACCAGTCCCACCCAGAGGTGGCTTCACACATGCTGCGAGGTCAGACGCTCCAGGTTGGTGTGCGCCTCACGGCCACCAGGTGGCGCCCTGAACACGAAGCCAGATGACTAGAGCCTAACTTAAGAGCAGTGCCTAATGGGATGGGACCCTGGGCTGAGCGCCCTGTGACAACGGCTGTTCCAGAAGGAGGTCATCCTGTTTCCTGTCTCACATGGTACCAGCACTTTCTTGGCACCCTGAGTTCCGGGTACATGATGGGGTAAGGGCTCCTGAGTTCCGGGGATATAGGGAGATCAGGGCAGACAAGGTGATGGAAAGTCCATGTTCCTCACTACACACGAAGGTGCCGGACATGCTCTGCTAGCCCTGGGCCCTGCCCCAGCCTGGCCTCCTACCATTGGGTCCGGCCCCCCCGTGCTTGCCCAGGGCAGCTGCCCAGACTCCTGACTGTCTGACTGTCTCCTGCCCTAACTAGGGACAGAGACCTGTGGCTGTGAGCAAGGCTTAGGGGAGGGGGCCAGGGTGTACTGGGGTGCAGGGCAAGAGACAGAGGGGGCCAGAGTACACGGGCATTGGTAGTGAGGGGCTGGGTTCTACCAGGGTGCACAGGCAGAGGAGGGGAGAGCTAGGGTGCACCTGGGTGCATGGGAAGAGGGAGGAGGAGCTGGAGGTGCAAGAGCTGGAGTTGGTGTGCCAAGGGATGGTGGGAAGGGGCTGTGGGTGTATCAGGGTGGGTGATGGGGTCTTCTAGAGGACACTCAGGGACTGACAGGGATGCAGGTGAAAGCATCTGTGTGTGTGTGTGTGGGGGGGGTGCACAGCTGAACCAGGACTCACTTAGCGGGGCTCCAGTTCACACCCCTCTATACCTTCCAACCCCCCCAGTGCAGATCAGCAGGGCAGCCCCAGACAGACCCAGCCACAGCACTAACAGGGGTGGGGCTCAGGAAGGCACGCCTGGGTGTGTGGGGGTCTATGATGCCCGCCCTCCTCCCCAGGCCCTTATGACCTACAAGTGCCTCTATGGGCCCAGGATCCATGTGACAGAGAGGCTGCAGGAGGGTGGGCAAGACTCCTTCTCGCCCCAGGGACATTACTAATCCCCAGGCAGGAGCTGTGGTAGCGTAGTGGTTATGAATCAGGCTGCTAACCCTCAGAGTCAGCAGTTCGAAACTACCAGCTGTTCCCCAGGAGAAAGATGAGGCTTTCTGCTCCCGTAAAGATGTACAGCTTTGAAAACCCTGTACAGGGTTGCTATGGGTCAGAAACGACTCCACGGTACATAACAACAACAAAAAGGCTGGAATCCGCGGCCAGGGACTCTCTGTGGGTTTTGTCCCTCTGGGAGCAGGGGTCCTGAGCCGGCTCCCTTCACTCCCAGTCCCCACTGAAGCACTTTCTCAGTCAGAATGACGGGTACCAGCAGCCGGCCCTTCACCGGCCTCCCCCTGGTCTACTCCACCTGCTGACTGAGGCCCAGGCACCCTATACAGACACATGGCAGCTCTGAACACGTCTGCAGTTGGAGAGTCCATAGGACCCGTCACAGAGGCGCTCCCGTCCCATCCCTCACCCTACGCTCTTGTCTCGAAGCTTCTCGGGGGGGCCGGCACTGAGAGTGAGGGTAAGGTTGAGGGTCCCGCCGGCCGGCCAGGCTGAGCGCTCTTACAAAGAAATGATACGACTTGGGCGGATCCAAGGCGCCCACCACCTGCGGCTGAACTGCCGTGCCGGGCGGCCTAGCGAGCCGGTGCGCAGCCGGAGCTGAGGCCACGCGAGCACAAGTTCCCGGCGGAGTCCCGCTCACGAAGCGCACCGTTCGCTCCTACGTCCCTGGTGCCCTCATTCCCGCCAAGCATGAGGGCAGGGCGCTTATACAACCCCCCTAGGCTGCCTTCGCTGAGGACCGGGAGGGCACCTCGGGGTGCGACCAGACTCCGAGAAAGGCCGCCCAGCGGCGTGGGAGTCCGAAGCACCATCAGCAGCGCTCGGACCAGCCTCGCGATGAGGGCGGCCGGCGTAGCGGGGCTCCGACTCCCGGCCATCGCCGCCGCGCGGGGCCGAACGGCGGCTCGGAGGAGTACTCCGAGTGGGGACACCCATGGATGAAGGAGCAGGGACGCCTGCGGCCCGGAGCACCGCATAGAGCGGGGGCGTAGGGCCCCACAGAGCTTAGGGCAGGCGGCGGGACCCCGCGCCAGGGTGCGTGGAGGTTCAGGTGGAGCAGGGGTGCCCATGGACACAAGGCGGCCGGGTCGGGCGCCGCACTCACCCGAGATCTCCGCTTGCGGCACGTCGCTCAGGCTGAAGCCCTTGGCGCCGTAGATCTGACGGACTTCGCCGCAGCTCCGGCTCTTGCTGGCTGGGTCTCCGCGGGCGCAGGCGGCCAACGCGGCGGCCGCGCACAGCAGCCACCAGCCGCGGGCCCGGCGCTCCATGGAGGCCCGGCGGCCCACGCCTCTCCCGGCTCCCGGCGCCCACGAAGGGCAGCGCCAAGGTCCCGGCGAGCGCGGCCCGCGCTCCGAGTCGGCGGCGACAACAAAGCCGGTAGCAGCGCGGGGCGCGAGGGCCGGCGCTGGTCCGGCGCCCAGAGCGCGGCGCGCGGTCCCAGTCGGCCCTCCCCCAGCGGCCCGGCCCCTCGGCGCAGGGCGGGGCGGCCGGGCGGGGCGGCAGGGGAGGTCTTGGGGCGCAGGGGGCGCCTCCTCTCCCACGGAGCCGGGGCTCCCTTCGGTCCGCAACCCCGTAGCTTTCTCGGCTGGGACCGGAGGCAGGAGGCGCGCGGGCGCGAATCAGCAGGGGACCCTAGGGCGGGCCCCCACGCCCAGCGCCCAGGGCGGGGCGCCACCTGCGGGGGCGGAGGCGAGGGGTGTTGAGGCAGGGCTTCCCCCGCCGGACGTGACATCACTCCTTCCGGCCGCCAATCGGGGGCTTCCCCGCCCCCAACCCAAAAAACAGCATCCTTCCCTCTGGCTCGCGGGCTCAGCCTTCACCCACACCCTGGCAATTGGCCCTGCCAGCCGCCCGCGGTGGACTGTCCTCCCGCGCTCCGTGCCTCGTGTACCAGCCCATCTCTGGGCTCCAGGTCCCACCAATGGCTTCTGTGGGGAAGCGTGGGGGTGCACGTGAGAACCTGACCAAGTCCCCAACCCCAGCCCTGAGTGGAGGCAAGGACCAACGACTTTTTGTGGTTGGAAAGTACTGGTTCCGTTTCCACGGGATGCTCTAGCAGGAGATGTCTTGTTGTCTTGGGCGTGGGGCGGTGACCACTGACCTCGGGAGCTAAGGCAGGGGCCGGGAGCTGACACCGTGTAGGTGAGAATGCAGGAACTGAGCGAGGCCTTGGGCGCGTACGTGGGCCCTGGGAAAGGGAGCCCTTCAGTCTTGGCCTTAGAGTCTGCGCTTCCAACCCTCGCCTTCTAGGTCGACAAAGGCCCCAAAGACCAAGAGAGTCAGAGCCAGACCATGAACCTTGGATCTGGAGAAGGGCAAACAGTTCGTGTGATGAGATTGACCATGTGGAGATGTAACTTCCAGGCTTCGGTTTCACCTGGGACTCCCTGAACGATGCTTATTGCGCATGTGTTAGTCAGAGATTGGCGCCTCAGAGGAACGGCCTGGTGATCAAATGAAAACGCAACAAATGGAAACCCTACCGAGCACAGTTCTGCTCCGACAAACGTGCGTTATGTACCAGAATCCACTCCACCACATCGGGTTTGCCCCTGGCAGCAGGGGTCGGGGATGGAACAGGCCTCCCCGGAGGTGGCACCAACATCTCCACCCCAGGCTTCTTGTCTGTTGCTCTGTGTGGCTGTGAGCTGGAGGGCAGCTTCCTGGGTATCCCTCTGCTTACCCCTCCTGAGTATCCTCTGGCTCCCTGAGCATCCCGCCTGCTTCCTGGGTCTCTTGCTGTCCCCTAGGGCCCCATCCTGTCCAGTAGGGTCCCTCCCAGCCCCCCTGAGGCCTTGCACTGCCCCTAGGGTCATGTCCTTGTTCCTGAGATCTCCTGCTACCTCCAGGGGTCTCACTCTGCCCCCACACTGGCCACTCCCCTCCAGGAACAGTGAGTCACTCCTTTGGAGGAGGCTGGGGAGCCATCGGGAGTTGGAGCCCAGCTCCTCCGCTGTAACTCACCACTGTGCACAAGGCCAGCTGCCTGGACGCCCCCTCGCACCTGCTCGTTCCTGTCTCCTCCTCCCTGGAGGCCGGCTGAGACCACCCCTCGGTGGGGGACAGAAGCAGGGGCTTTCTAGTTTCTCCTTGTGGTGGGCAGACCCTTTGCCCAGGAGCCTAGACTTGGCTGTTCTCCTTACTGTCTGTCACTCTGTCCCAGACCCTCAGGCGAGTCCTTCCCCAGGAAGAACCTTTCGTCCTGTCTAGTAAGGCAGTATGACACATGTGGACAGTGTAGGTCCCCCGGGGTTAGGAATCCCCACCCCGCACACCCTCTGCCCAGGTTCTGGTGAGCTCATGCCTCAGTCAGGCAGATGGGCCCAGGAAGGGGCCCGGGGTGGGAGTCACTTTTCTTCCAGTCAGTGTGGATAAAGGGAGCCCCACCCTTTATTGAGTTCCAATCTTGGCGGCACCACTCTCCACTGGAGGTGTAACGGTGGCCACCTTCTCTGCTTGTCAGATCCAAACGCATGAGGACCCTTGCCTTTTGCCGTCTGCATGACTGGTCAGTTGTGGACTCAATTGTTGTGACCCATACGCTCTATGCTGGCTGATTTGCAGAAGGGTTGCCAGGTCATTCTTCCTAGTCCATCTAGGAGCATCACTGGAACCTGTCCACTCAGACAGGTGGTGACTGTGCATGACGGGCACTGGCAGGAATCGAACCCAGGTCTCCTGTTAAGAGAGGATCCAACCACTGAACCATCACGGCCCTGCATGTGTCTGGCCTGGGACAAAGATACCATGACTAAATGTGGGACTCAGCTCTGGAGGATGGGTATCTAGGCTCCATCAGGGCAGAAGGCTGTGGAGAGCGGTCCCACTCAACTTCCATCTGGAGGCCAGGGGCGGTGAGGTGCCGCTAGGAAGTCTCCCTGCTCTGGAGGGGACTGGTGGGAGGCTAGGGGTGGCTGGTCTTCTGGACACAGTAGAGGAAGCGTTGAACCAGTGGCTGCCAGGGAAACTGGTCTGAGAGGCTTTGCCGAGGTTGCTAGCAGTAGGCGGTTCCACCTACTCTTATGTCCCATTGCCCACTTCAGACCTGCCTCTCGGCTCCCTCCACTGCCCCTCACCCACCCCCCAGGAGGAGTGTTTGCAGGTTTTAGATTGAGGGGGAGGTGATGCACCCTGGTCACATGTGGGGAGAAACTGAGTGCCAACCTCAGTTCACACTGTTCCAGCTCACCCCCAGCCACCGCCACCACTAGGCCCACCCTATTCACCCTCACACACTGACCCCAACCAAGGTGAGGTATGGCTCATGCAGCTGGACACTTGGGGAGCAGGGGCTGGGGTGGCATTGTCTGCTGGGTATCACCCTTCATTGCAGGGGGTTTTCCAGCAGTGACCTAGAAAGAAGGTCAGACACCCCACCTACCCCCTCCTATGATGTCCAAGCACCACCCCACCCGCCAGCACTCAGGACTCTGAGAAAACCAGAGAAGAAGACTAACTTTGGATCTGTCCTCAGGTGAGGGGCTGCCCCTGGGGTGGGGACGGTGAACTCTGGACCTCTCCCCAGATGTGGGGCAGGACAGAGGCTGAGGGGTATGGGTGACTCCCTGGATCCCGAGGTGGTTTTGGTGCAGGACCTTGTGAGCTGACCCACACACTTGCTGAGGAGATCTGGGGCTGGTCACGATGTATCCACAGGTCCCGGACGTCAGGGTGAATCAGCATTTCATCTGGTGACTTCTGTGGAGCTAGGCTGTCCCTTCCCAAGCAGCTGGGACGGGCAGGTTCTGCACCGTAAGCACCAGCAGCCAGGCAGCCACAGGCCCTGTGTCCACATGGATGTGCTGGATCCAGCTCTGCTGGAAGTGGGATGATGACTGATGATTGGCCCAAACCCACCCATGGCAGTGGGCCCTTGAGGCCGTGTGGGGCCCCGGGGGCAGTGGAGGACACAGGGCAGCGGCTGTGCTGGGCAGGCGGCCCTGAGCGGCTGAGCAGGTGGCCACAACCTTGGGCAGGTGCTTCCCTGTATGATTGCAGGAGGTCAGCATGTCGGGTGCTGGAGGGGCCCTGGGCCGGTATTGGCTTCACTTTGTGGGTTCCACCCATGTACTCTGGGCACCTGCCTCTCCCACTCTCCCAAGAAACTACTTCAAGGGGTCCCTCATTTTTGAATGGGGCTCCACTCCAGCTCAGCTTGAGACGGGTGGACTCTGGATGGACCCTGGCCTGCAAGCCTGACCTTGGTCTCTGAGGAGCTGTTCCTCGTCCCCAAACCTGGGCTGCCCCTGGCTGCATGAAGGAGTGGCAGGAGACACCACACATGGTTTTCAGGAGTGAGAAAACTTGGACCCACAGGGTGGTCCCACCTGGTGCCCACCCTGCCCCCTCCCTCCAAGCTCCCTGCCTCAGGCCGTCAAGTTCAAGGCAAACCTCTCTGGCAGCCTGCCGGACTCTGCCCACGTCCCTTTGATCGTCCGGAAGTCTTGGGCATGCCTCCTTAACCAGGAGCAGCAAGAAGCCCGGATTCAGAAAGCCACTGCCACCCACGGGGATGGAGGCAGGGTAGGGTGGGGCTGTGCCCTAGAGAAGGGCTGTGTTCTCATCTGCGCACCTGGCATCTAGCCTGCAGGGGATGCTGAGCTGGGCTCCACCCGCCCTCCCTGGGGCTGCCTTCCTGCCAGGTCAGATGAGCACGCCCCACAGCAGCACAGGGGTCTGGATTAAGAAGGAGACCACCGGAAGCTGAGAGTCAAGGAAGGATCCTCCTCAGAGCCTCCGGAATTGGGGACCCCCTACCTATCTGTGATACTTTGTTACATACAGCAGCTGAGGAAACACACACAGAAAGCCAGGCTGGCTTTAGTCTCTGCCCTGGCTGCTGGAGACACCAAACTTGCTTTCTTGCATTCTGTTTCCCTGAGACCTGGCTGGCGGAGCCCGATTGCCATTTTCAGCTTCACTGTTGGTCTTTCTTGTATTGATTTTTGAGGCACTCTTTATGGACTAAAGATCAGGCACTTTGCCTGGAATCTATGTTGCAAATATCGTCTCCCTCACTCCACTTATGCCCAATGCCAGTAAACGTGCCTCCCGCCCAAACAGAGTCGATTTCTGGACCCTCATCCTCCTGGGCTGATCCCACAGACTCCGGGGCCAGCACCTCGCTGTCTCTGGGTCTGGAGTCTTCTTATAGGACCCTGAGTCCCTGATTTTTCAGAATTTCTTTCCAACTTTCTCCTATCTATGAACCTTGGCTGTGACCTGTCAGGTCCCATAAATAATGGATGAGAAGAGCCTTGGGTTTATA